GGAAGTTACTCTCACTGCGCGAACATAGTTCTCCGGGAGCAGACAACATCCGCCCGAAGGCACTGAAGGCTGTGGCTAATAAGCTAGCTGAACCACTGTCACAGTTTTTTCAAAGGTGCTTTGATGAACAACGAGTCCCCACTATGTGGAAGTGTGGCATTATAACCCCTATTTTTAAAGGCGGTAGCCGTTCCGATCCTGCAAACTATCGTCCAGTGACTCTCCTCCCTGTGCTCGCGAAGGTGATGGAAGCAGTCGTTGCTGAGGCTTTGATGGACTATCTGGAAAAATGCAACATCTTGGTACCGGAACAGCATGGCTTCCGTCAACACCGGTCATGCACCACCAACCTACTTATTGCTCGAGGTAGTTGGACGGAAGTGGCCGATGATGGGGTCGGAGTCGACGTCATCTATCTGGACTTTTCCAAAGCTTTCGACCGCCTTGATCACCGCATCCTACTTCAACGGCTTCAGAGTTACGGAATCGGAAATCCTGTACTTGGTTGGATTGGCAACTTCCTTTACCAACGAAAGCTCCAAGTACGTGTTAGGGGATCACTTTCTAACCCAATTGAGGTGGAATGTGGTGTCCCGCAAGGCTCAGTGCTGGGACCGCGCTTATTCCTGGTGTTTATCAACGACCTGGCAAGAGTCATCTCCTCAAACTTCCTGCTTTTCGCCGATGACGTCAAGATATGGCGGGCGATTAGTAACAAGGCAGATCAGGATCTGCTCCAACATGACCTAGATTGCATTTACGAATGGTCAAAGAGTAACAAGCTTCAATTGAACATGGCTAAGTGCAAAGTGATGCATCTGCGTCACCAGCTGGTGAGCGCCTACAAGATTGGAGACCACACCTTGGCAAAGGTTTCTCATGAGCGGGACCTGGGTGTATTGGTACAGGAAGATCTCGGGTGTTCCAAACAAGCAGAGAAGGCGACGAGAACCGGAAATCAACACTTCGGCCTTCTTCGCAGAGCCTTCGGTCGGTTTGAACCATCAATATTTCCCCAAATGCTTAACGCCTACGTGCGACCTCACGTGGAATATGCTATTCAGGCGTGGCAGCCGTGGCAGAAACATGATCTCATTGCTCTCGAGACTCCTCAACGACGGGCAACCAAGAACGTCAGGGGCCTCTTTCATCTGCCCTATCAGCTTAGACTGAAATCTCTAAGAATGTACAGCAGTCGATATCGGCTTTTGCGGGGGGATCTCATAATGGTTTACCAGATTCTGAAGAACCCAAACCACATTTGCCGTCCGCTACTGGAACTGAACCCCAACACTAAACTAAGAGGTCACCCTCTGAAACTGACAATTCATTACAGCCGGCTTGAATGCCGTAGAAATTTCTTTTCTCTCCGCGTGTGTGAGCCTTGGAATGCCCTCCCTAATTATGTCGTCTCTGCTCCCAATCTGGCGATATTTAAACAACGTGTTGACGATGCGTTGTCTCACTTACATTTCCTGTTATGACTTGTTAGCCAGGGGCTACAAAACGCAATCAAACGGTTTCTTGCCAAGCGCTCAACCATTGGATTTATGGATTTTTATGTTTAATACGCGAACATCTCCGCTATTTCACATAAGTCTATGGTGAGTCCACCACAACGCTTTTCACTTTATTATGCAATTTATTTTCGCAATAATTTCCATCCCACGGGACTTGTTAAGCGATGCTTTTTTACCCGTAATAAACCATTGTCCATTGTCCATTGTCCATTGTCCATTGTCCATTGACCAAGTCATCACTTGGCCTCCCCTCCTCCTCTTCCAACCGCACCCACAACGCGCAAACAATGCACGTCGTGGGAGTCGGTGTGCTGGCATGCGCAAGACGTGGCCCAGCCATCGGAGCCTGGTGCGTGATATAATCGTGCTGAGCGGTTCACTCGCTCTTCCTGCACCAAATACGCGACGTCGAACACGCTCATTGCTCACGCGGTGTTCCCACCAGACATGAGCTAAGCTGCGAAGGCAGCGATGATCGAACGTGACGAGTCTCTTCATGTCTGTCGACCTGATGGGCCAGGTTTCACAGCCATATAGGAGAGTTGAACGGACGGCTGCGTTGTAAACTCTGCCCTTGAGGGCGAGAGTAATGTCGCGTCTGCGCCACAGGTGGCGGAGATTGGCAAAGGCACCTCGAGCTTTTGCTATACGGTTCGTAACCTCATCTTCAGTCCCACGGGTGCTAATATAGCTGCCCAGGTACTTGAATTCCTGAACAACTTCTAGCAGATCACCACCAAGCGTTAGCGCAGGATTGGGTCCCTGCCAATCTTGGAGAAGTACTTTGCATTTTGATGGAGCAAAGCATAGCCCAAAACGACTGACAGCCAGTGCTAATCGGTTCAGTGCTGTTTGGCATGTTTGGGAGCCGTCACAGATTAGGGCAATATCGTCTGCATACTCCAAGTCAAGAAGTCGCTCACCAGGGAGTAGCTCCACACCTTCTAGGTCGTGTCCAGCGAACGCTGTTTCCATGACTTCATCAATAGCGAAGTTGAAGAGGAAAGGTGACAGCGGGCATCCTTGTCTCACACCGCTGGTGATACTGAAGGGTGGCGAGAGTTTGCCATAAACCCTCACCCTGCCCGAACTATGTGCGTACAGCGCGTTGATAATGTTTACATATTTATCAGGCACACCTTTCCTCAACAGACAGTCCCAAAGGGCACATCGATCGACTGAGTCGAAGGCACCTTTTATGTCAAGAAACACGACAACGGTGGGTCGCCAATAAACATGGCGGTGCTCCAACACTTGACGCAATGTGAAGATGTGGTCGATGCAGCCCCGACCTCGACGAAATCCGGCTTGCTCTTCACGAATTTGGCTTTCACGAGTGCCAGTCAGTCTGTGGAGAATGAGAGAGGCAAGCAATTTAGAGGCAATCGAAATCAGACTGATCCCTCTATGATTACCACATTACCAAATGGATTACCCACTCACGTGGCTGACTGCCTCTAGGTTAACTGCACATGACGCTTGTTGTACCTGAAGCTATGAAAAGGCAATTCTGGGGAGCAAGTCGATATCCCTACTCTTCCTGACCGAAGATATTGTCGGGGCCATTTACATCGTCTTATTTTAATAACCTAGTTGCAACGGAAGTCAGAGTTGCACTTATGGTTCCCAAGTTTCCCATTAAACTCAGTTGTTACTGGAAAAACCTTAAGACTGACCACGCGCCCCGTAAAGTTCACGTCTAACGTTAGCGTAAGCGATACCGAAGCATCGCATTAGCAAACCGCTTGCCAAGCCTTCACCAGAGCCATGCGGTAACCATGCGTCTAAAACTTGACGCATGGTGCTAAACGCTCCGTCCTTTTTGTTGGTCAGTCCCCGGATAAAGGTTTCGCGTTAAATACGATATGGTGCCAACCACGCTGTATTCATGCCCTACTGTAATCCGATTGTCTATCGTTACAAACTAATTTCAAGCTCTTGCCTGTCCAGTTTATCGTTACTCGTCAGTTGCCAGTCCACATAAGCGATCGAAAAGTTACCCTGAATTATTGCGCAATGTAATTTAGTGAGGTTTTTGAACCTAAACGCCATTAAAGGTCATGAACATATATGTCAGTGAAAACACAAGGGTTTATAAATCCTTGGGATGTATTGCACGCGCATACTTCACGCTTACATGTTCTACCATTTACTTACAAGGGTGTTGGGACACGCAGGCTCGTACTTCTGATATATTATCTTTCAGGAACTGGATCCTCCATTCCGTTTTGCTCAGCACACCCCATGGAGCTCCTCGAAGCATTTCGGAGTATTAATGCTTCATGGCTTTTTCACGTAGGCCTTACTGACACGTTTTATTAACAAGTGGTTTGGTTACTTTTAATCTATGTGTCCGGTTGAATGTATTCCTGTCCCTTTGTCATCCCGCTTCTCTTGTTTACGAAAGCGCATATTACTTGTCGTTTATTTGCGTCACACGAACTCATGTAGGTTCTTTATATATATATATATATATATATATATATATATATATATATATATATATATATATATATATATGATGCGGTTAGCACCACAGTGGGTTATTTCTATGCCACTGTTGTTTTCCTCTTCGTTATCAAGATTGCTCTCTCCATTTTGCCACGAGTATGACACAACGTTTACCTGTATTCATACCGATGAACAAATAACTAATTGCACAAACTAAGCACGTTGTGCATAATGGTTTTCATCTTTAGGTCGGTTTTTGCAACTATATCAAACAACGTGTACTGACAATTCGTTATTTCGCAGACCTTCCCAATGGTCTGGTAACGCCGACGTCGCACAATAAAAATGCTGCAAAAACATCTCGCAGTAACACAAGGGACAACATCAGCAGAATGTAGTGTGTATGGAAACGTTGACTTGATCTGAATACAAATATTGTAGCAACCTGGACATTTCTTCGTACGATCGCCGTATGATGTGTAAACTGTGACAAAGTAACTTTCCTTATGTCCCTAAGATAAACAAGCAATTTGTTTGTCGCATGCTGATTACTTTTGTTTCTACACACACGCACGGAACGCGACCCGAACGTTGCCTCCGATGATGCTGAAATATTCTCGTTTATCTCTCTCCAGCTAGTTCTTAATGGGTGCCCGTCAGCCTAGCGAGATGGTAAGTTTCGGCAAGAAAACATCACCTCGCCTATGTTTATTTGCCCTCAAACTTTATCCGAACGGTTGGTTGCTTGGGTGAGTTATAGCGTCCCCTTAGAATACCTTCAATTATATGCTACCCTAACACTGTTAACTAGCATGAAGTTCAGGTGCATTAGGTGGGCCACCTCCTCCTAATAACGAACCAACAAAACAAAACATTTTCAATATAAATGTTTTATAAACGCAGAACAAACTTTTAATATTATTCGCACCTTAAAAATGACAGTTTTATCATTAATCTAATCAGTTAATATGTTAGGGTAATTTAAATGACAAGATTTATCGTCGTTAACATAATTGGCAAAAAGCTCACCCCTGTAAGCCTTCTTTGCCATCGTACAGAGCAGGTCCAACCAATGCTTTTACTTCCTCAATTATTCCTTCTGCACCCTTGACACAAAGTAAAATTTCACTAGGACCGGATGTCATAAATTCCACAAGCTTATTAAAATAAGGCTCATCCTTTTGTCTAGCGTAAAACTTTTCGACGTCTTCTTTCGTGAATTGGTAAGTCACGCGTTGAAGAATTTCAATTCCATTAGATCGTAGCTGATATATAAGTGACAGTTTGGCAAGTAAGTAGAGAGCATACCTCTGAGATTATTTCTTCCGCTTTACCGGATTTCACGACATCAGGTTTAAGGATGACAATAGTTGTCTCTTGAAGAATTTCTAGAAATGTGTGTGGGTTAATCGGTACAACTAGTGCCTCACCTTCCTCTTCTTCTTTTCGTCTTCTTTCCTCAGCTTCCGCGAGTTCCTGAGCAAGCAGAACTGGATCTTTAATCTTTAAGTACAAACTAGCCACATAGTGTAAGTACCTCTATTCTTTCGGCCTCGCCACGTAAAACTTCGTGTTCTAACTTTAATTTTTCTGTAATGTTTCGTATAATTTCTGGTGGATTTATTCCTCGTACAGCTGCCACCAAGTGTCCACTCTACGGTTGCAAATCATTAATAGTGACTTCTTCTGAGGGGACATACGCCAAAAAATAAAAAACATGGTTCACATTTGCCACGATATCTCTCCAACGACTCAATGGCATCGGCTTTTGCTACGGCAAAGTTCAGCAAATCATCGTTCAATTCCGATTTCATTCTTTTAAATATGCCAACTGCAGCCTTACATGGGCCACACCATTCTTGATATATATCAATCACTAATGGTTATTGAACAGTAAGATAAGATTTGCAACACAACCAAGTAAACCTTCTCTCTGTAGAACATTGTCCCATTGTTCCTGCGTTTCTATTTCTTCTTGAAGTGTTACCTCAGTTCGCTTTTTGGCCATGTGTATTGAACAGTTGTTTGCGTATGAGATGGAGCAATTCCAGGAAGCTAAAAATTGGAAAGATCGTGAGGATCGAACGAAAAGTATGTCTGGCCAGCACTCTTGAGACATCTGTTACCTTTCGGATACCAACTTGTAAGACTCTTACACCGTCATCCGAATGTCCTCTCCGATAAACCGGGATGCCAAATACCACACGCGCCTTTCCAGCAACCCAGACGCTACCGCTTCTGGCCAGGCTGTTGTTGGGATTGCATTGAGTGATAGAGCTTGGTCCGAAATGCTTGACTGGATTCCAGTCAATAGTCGATTCATTGCAGTAAGACTACGAGGTTTATCTCAGTTAATTAAGCGTCGAAATTTTAAGGGTGCCTCATTTATAGTCGCCGCCTACGCTCCTACAGACTAGAGCTCAGCTGTGCAGCTGTGCAGCTGTGCGTACAATCTTTATTCATGATCTATTGTGCAATATTAGCTTTTGTTCTACTGCTCCTCACTTTCCGTCTCTACCCTATTCCACTCGTCTGCTCCGTGAGTCCTAGTGCCAACCTTCGCTCCTATCTCGCTACATCCGTTCACGTTTTTTCCGCCTATCGAATACAGCCTGCTATGTCCGAGTTGTATGAGTAGTGAATACTGGTCCGAGACGGTGCGCGAAAATAAGCGCCGATATCAGAAGGCGGTTGGAGTCGGACACAGCGGACTGTATTCGATGGGTTACAAGAAGAGGCGGACGGGTGAAACGAGACAAAAGCAAACACGTGAGCGCGGGAATTTACAAGACAATCAAGTGTCGAGCCGGATGTAGGTCAACATGGACGTAATGTAAAGGAGATTAAAACAAGAAAGAATAATGTACAATTGGTCATCAGCAAAATTGTACGCAAAAGATAATAGTTATCTTTTGGGGCGCTACAGAGCTCCCCCTAGAAGGCTGAACAAAAGAAGCCTTCGAATTCGAAAATGACGAGCGAATCGAAGTTGGTCGGACAAAAGCATGCCGAGTGAGTGGGCATTCGAGTCAAATGGAGGTTCGCCGGAATTCGGAGTCCGCTGTGCCGTTTGTGATTTATTATTAGTTGATTACAGGGCAGGGTTCATTTCGCCGAGCCGTTGGAGAGGGCTTGTCAGACTACAAAAAGATGGCTAGCCCAAAAAAGGCCGACACGACCTCAACCACCGCTGCTGCCTATCGGTGCGCTTGGTTGTGGTCTCTCCCCCACTCATCACCCCGTTCCGAGACAAAACGACCATCGTCCAACGGAGAAACGACCATGGTCTTACGAAGAAGCTACCATAGTCCCACGAAGAAACGACCCTCGTCCCATGGGCAAAGGACCAGCGTTTGCGTCAGGATCCACGTTGACTGCGGCAATCCTTAAAAACATTGCTCATGTGGGCCAGTCCATCGAAGGGGAGAACTGGAGCATGTATGACGAGAAAATAGAAAAACGCGCAGAGACGCCAGAAAGAACAAACGAGGGATATGTGTGTATATATTTGTTGGTTTTGAATATCTTTCTAGAAAAAGGTTTTTGGGAAGCGTTTGAGATTTCGTTCTCAATACGTCACTTGACCAAAAACGGGGCAGATACATACAATATCTACAAACCTAAATGTATGTACATTGTACCTAGAACAATGAACGGGCTTACGTACCTCTCGACCACGGCGATTGGTCATGGGAGGCGACGGGCTAGATTCGGGAGATGTTGGGACGGCTGATGCTCGTAGACCGAGAACGTGCTCTGGTTCAACTGCACTAGGATGTTGAAAGCTGGTGCGGTGCGTTGTGACGTCGCATGAAGCACTGCTAAACGAAGTAGGCGAGGTGATTTCTTCCATAAAAGCAGTCATTACACGGTCGACGGTGGCGACTTCGTGTCGACCACCGCGGTCAATAGTGTACGCCTTACTCGCACGATGTAGCACCTTGAAAGGTCCTATGTACGGCGACTGAAGAAGCTGTAGAACACCGTCTGCGCGAAGAAGGACGTGTGAACACGCAGTCAGCTTCTCGGGCACCTACACTGATGTCCTCTGCGATCGAGGAGTGGGTGAACGTAGTTCACGCATCTGGTGAGCTCATCGATCGGTCTAACTTCCGTAGTCAAAAGAGGAAGTAGTTGGTGTTGGTGTTACCAGCTGTCCCGGCAACCGCAGCGTGCAGACGTAGAATAGCTGCTCTGGCGTTGCGTCGAAATCAGTTTTAACCGTGTTTCTTAAGCCTAGGAGGACGAGAGAAAGTGTTTCAGACCATGAAGGATCTGCGTGCGCACGTAGCGCTGCCTGCAATTGGCAGTGAAAACGCCCCACCATGCCGTTAGCGGCTGGATGATATTCCTTCTCCTGAACGTGGCGACAGCCTAAATCCTTAAGCAACGTGGCACAAGTCGACGAGAAATGTGACCCTCGACCGGTCGTCACAGTGACGACACAGCCGTATTGAGCTACCCAGTGCTCCACGAAAGCTTTCGCTACCGTCTCCGAAAAACAGTTAGGTATGAGAATAGCTTCCGGCCATCGATCGACCAGGTCAGTAGACATACAGAGCCTTTCAAAGGCGGCAGAGGACCTATGAGGTCAACGTGCACGTGGTGAACACGCGCATCTGGCGTGGGAAATGTTTCGTGTACTTATGCACTTTCGCGCGTTGACACGGAAGGCATGCAGCTGCCCAGGTACGAACGTCACGGTTGACATTGCGCCAGACGAACCGTGTGGCTACGTGTTTAATTGATGCACGAACGCCTGGATGAGACAAGCCATGCAACGTGTCGAACACGGTCTGCAAAAACTCGCGTGGAACGACTGGGCGCGGCGTGTCCAGAGATAAATCGCAAAGTATAGTTCCGCTTGATGATATTAGCGGAACAGGTCGTATGTCCAGTGATGGAGACCTGCGTAGTATATCAACCTCAGGATCATTGAATTGCGCTGCGGCCATGGCTGTCAAGTCAATAGTGGTGCCGGCGTCTGCAGATGTTGCTTGAATTCGAGAAAGTACGTCGGCGACAGTGTTGTGCACACCTGAGCCATGTCGTATATCGGTCGTAAACTGAGTCACATAGTCAAGGTGGCGCGACTCTCTAGGAGAGTATCGGTCAGTAGTCGAGCTAAGCACGTAAATAAATGGTTTATGATCGGTGAAGACGGCAAAGAAGCGGCTTTCTAAAACATGTCTGAAATTAAGTATGAATAAATAAATATGGCTAATAATTATCTACCCAAAGTACTGTAACGAGATTTGACAGGTTGCAAACGTTTGGAGAAAAGTGACATTGGCTGCCGAGCGTCATCTACCTTTTGTTCTAAGACCGCCCCAACTGCCATATCAGAAGCGTCGGTTCTGAGCGACAGTTGGGCTGCCGGGTCGTGATGCGCTATAAAAGCTATGTTGGCGATCGCATCTTTCAAAGCCTGGAAGGCGGCGCCTGCGGCAGCAGGCAAATCGAACTTCTTAAGCTTCACCCGGAGAAGGTCCGTGAGGGGTTGCATAAGCGTAGCGCAACTAGGTATGAAACGGCGATAAATGTTGACGACGCCATCAAAGCGTCTTAGCTGGTTGAAAGAGTGAGGCTCGGGGTAGTCGGTGATGGAATTAGTTTTATGCTGTAGTGGCAAGACGCCTGCAGGAGAGATACGGTGGCCGAGAAAACTGACAGAATTGGGACCAAACGAACACTTTTCTGCGTTGCTCGTCACCGTGGGTTGAGATAAACGATCAAAAAGCGTTCGAACCATGAACAGTGATATATTACAGGTAAAAAAGCGATTGCTTTACAAGTCCCGTAGGATGGCTGAAGTGAAAGCAAACATAAGTGTTAATCGTCAATTTAAGCGTCTAAGGATTCAGATGACATTTCTTCATACAAAAATTTTAGAATGCGTATTGGATTGTTACTGTAGAGTAATATGGGGAAGGTATGTCTTAAGAACAAAAGAAACGACAACGCTTACTCGTGCGCCGCTTTCTTAGACTGAGGTAATTGATGAATGCAGTCGTAATAAATCCGAAAGTATATTCCACATCAGCAACATATAAGTAGTGAAGCACAAAAGCTGAGAATGAGCACCGTTTGTTCACGTTTGTTTGACGTAGACATTTCTGATTAAATAATGTAATGTAAGTGGATAAGCAAATCATCCAGACGTCTTTTGAATACCCTTAGTTTGGGGGAAGGAACAACCTATTTGGGAAGAGCGTTCCAGCGTTGGCACACACGAAGGGAAAACAAATTCCGGCGGCATTCCAACCGGCTGTATTGTGTGGCCAGCTTTAGCTGGTGTCCCCTGAGTGTGGTATTGCTATTCAGCATTAGTAGGTGACAACATAAATGGTTTGGATTCCTCAGAACCATATACATAATTATCAAGTCGCCACTCAGTCTTCGATATTGTCCACTGTAGACCCCGAGGGTTTTCAGCCTCAATCGGTAAGGAAGATGAAACAAGCCCTGAACGTTCTTGGTCGCCCTTCGTTGTGGCAGTTCAAGAGCGGTAAGGTCTTGCTTTTGCCATGGCTGTCAGGCTTGGATGGCGTACTCAGAATGAGGCCGAATGTAGGCGTTGAGCATCTGAGAGAAGATGAAAAGATCGAAGCGCCCGAATGCCCTCCGCAAAAGGCCAAGGTGTTGGTTGGTTTTTTTGGAGGCCTTCTGGGCCTGACGGGAACAGCTCAGATCTTCCTGCACTATCACGCCTAGATCGCATTCCGTTGAAGTGCGCCACAACATTTGATCCCCAATCTGTATTCGCAAGTCGTTTTATGGCGCATGCTCAACACCTAACACTTCGTAGCGTTAAACTGAAGCAGGTTCGGAGTCGACCATTCGTAGACCCTGTCAAGATCATTCTGAATTGCTACATTGTCGCGCGTTGTTCTAATGGCTCGCCATATATTGAGATCATCAGCGAAGAGTAAGGAGTTGGAGGTGATTACTGTCGCGATATCGTTTATGTAAATCAGGAATAGTCGTGGACCAAGTACTGAGTCCTGG